AGCCATACGCGGGACGCGCATGTGCCCTTGAAGCCCGAAACTCTAAGCCTGATCGCAGCCTTCAACCCCCAACCCCAAGACAAAGTCCTACCATGGGGGCCTTGGCACTTAGAATAGGGTCTGGGGGTTATACTCTACCACAGTTATCATGGGAACCCGACGGGATGGTATCGGTAATCATGTGGGAGTTTCCGAAACTTAGGGGTACATTATTTTGGGGTCCTTATAAGATGGATCCTAGTATTTCAGGGTACTACGTTAGGGTCTAGTTTCGGAGACTCCCATGTAGGCTTCTATAGTAAACCACAAGCAGTCGCCAGGGTGGCCTTCACAGCACTCCTCCTCCTTCCACAGCTGGTCTACTCGACCGGGGCCCTGCAGAAGGCTGCACTGGCTTTTGGTTCTTCAAGGGTTACTACAAGGCTTATTGTAAGGGAAGTTGGGCTTGAGAGCTTCAGGGTTTAGGGGCTGAGCTTTGGGGCAAACCCAGAATTTCGTGCCTTTTGGGGCAGCCCATTGCAAGAGCGTGGCTCCTAAAGTCTTATTTGCATCCCAGGGGGGTTGGCGGTTGGAACTTTGGGTTTCAGGCGCTCGGGTCTCGGTTTTCGCGCTTTAGCACCTTGAGTTGGGGTGAAAGGGTTGGGGTTGGAGGCTTGGGACCAGGGATATTCGGCGCTCCTCCTGCGCAGGTGCTGAAAAACCTGGATGCTGCGGACCTGGTGACGGTGTCCGAAGGGGAGGCATTGCAGGGGTTCGGGCTTGTAGGGGCCTGGGAGCTAGTCCCATCTCAAAGGTTGGGCTATATTCAGGCTTTAGATGGAATAATATTGAATCAAAGTTCAACGTTTGAGAACACAAACAGCAATCTTGCATTACGTAGACGAGCAAAGAAAGAAAGGCACCTCACGAAAGGGAGTGATTCGTTGGGAAACGTCAACCTGCAAGGGCGCCTCGCTGGAGACATGCAGGTGTGAAAGCAGTCTGGGCGAGCGGTCGCTCTAGTGTCAGTTTGCATCGATAATCGTGCGACAGACGGACAGAGACAGAGTGAGAGAGAGAGTGCGAGTATTTGTCCTTGGTTGTGTTCGTGTGTATATGTTTGTGTCTGTGCGTGCCTAGTTATTCAGTCAGGCATTCAATCACTCAGTCTCCTTACTCTGCCACTCACTCGGTGTTCTTTTGCGCTTCTTAGTTCTTCACATTCGAACGAGACGGTTGCAAGTGGTGGCAGTTGCATTCGATTGTAAGCCTAGCTGGAGGACCGGGTCAGCCTAGCAGGGCCATGCGCGATCGCATGAAAAGTTACATAGCCTCACTACGATTCTGATAGGCCTCCGGCCTCACCGAGAATACCTTAAACTCTAGACATAGCATGAAACAAAAACCCTACACCCAAACCCACAAAGCTCTAAGCCCACAAAGCCCTGTGACACCCCCATAATTCCTCCAAAGGAACCCCTATAGATCCTTTTAAGGGAACCCTATAGATCCCTTTAAGGTAGGGAACCCCTACAGATCCCACGGAGCCCTAAAAAGCCCTTGTGGCTCCGCTTCGCCAGGAGGAGGCGGAAGCCGAAGCGGCGATCGAACAGAGTTTGCTGAATTTCCGGAAGCCCCATGGCTCGTCGTGGAGAGTTTAGCTTCAGTAGTTATCGGGCTTGACGGTCCGAGCCCTAAGTTAGGGAAAAAGGGTTGACTTCTGGGCAAATACGATACTGATACCACCAGCGGTTCAGAGTTCCGGGGCTTGATTTAGGGTACCGTAAACGTCGAAAGCCCCGCATCCCTTAGCCCTGAACTTCTGCTGCAAGATGCCGGATTTCGGTGAGCGGGTCTGAAAGAGATCAAAATCTCCAAAGAACTAGTTTAGGGTTTGGATGTGGTCTTCGACATCATGAGCCCTGATGATCGAGCTTCAAATGTAGGCTTGAAGGCATGCCTGAAGCAATCCTGAACCCCACACCTCAACACCCTCACGATAAATGCCCATTCCATTTCTTAAGAGCTCTACTTCACATTCGTTCCCCCTCCATGAAAAGAAGTAGTAGTAGTCATCAGACTCGCAGGGTAAAACAGGTTTCAGAAGTTAATGAGGGCGTAATTTGGGGCGTGTAGGAGTCACATCCGTTTCCACCAAGGATTCAGCACATGAGCCGCGTTTTCGGAGGCAGGGATTCGAGATTAGACTGTTGCGGCAGAGCTTAAAGCCTGAAGGAAAGGCGAATGACCGGAGGCCTATTGCCTAAGCTTGGACCTAAACCTTAGATCCAATCCTAGAACGGGGGGGTGGCGGTGTAGAATCGAGGAAACCTTGCGAGCTAGCTGGCAACCTTTCCCTGGTAATTTGGAACGAGTGGGATGCCCGGCGGTTCCTTTTGTTGTTTTTGTTTGAGTTATCTGCTGGGATTCGGGGTTTATGAAACCTTCGAGGATTGGGCGACCAGGGAGAGTGCTAAATGTTGGGAAGCCAGAACCCCGCTATTGTAGGGTCGCTGAAGAATACCAACCGTATATGAGTTAGTTCTTAATCCCAAGTCCCCTAGCTGCGAGTTGGGGTTTCAATGGTGGTGCCCCATTCTTGTTGTCTCCATGCTCCTGGCCCTTGTTCTGGGATCACCATGAAGTCGGAACCTGAGCACAAAGTAAGTCACCCAAGACAGAACACCGCCTAAGAAGACTTCGTGGTTTCGGCGGATTTAGAGCAGTGGAATATAGGGGCCGTAGTGATTACCTGTACTACTTTGGGGTTCCTTATTAAAGTATAGTTATAGTATATTGGGCCCAAAGCCCTATTTCAAGTATTCAGGCCCGATATTATGTACGGATGGGAACCTCTCCTTTAGGCATGAAGAGATCATGGCCGTCATGGCTTCTGCAATCAGCGAAGATTCATTGCCAGTGCTGGAAGTGAGGTCTCGTGCATTCGGAGGATCCTTCACGGAACAAGTTGAAACTTCTACTTTTTTAGGGCTCAAAAGGTTTAGGGTTTAGGGTACGGGTGCGTTAAGTTTTCTGCCTCCAGTCCTCTCCCCCGAATGCCAGAACTTTAACTCAGAACTCTGGGTCGGATTCGGGATGTTGGGCCCTGTTCCCAAACCGGAATCCAACCCCGAGACTTGAATGCGCCAGGCCATATCATCGACAGTCAACGGCGGATCAAGAGGCAGGTTTCTGCAAATTTTTCTGGGTTCTTGTCAGGGAGGAAAGCCTTCACACGACCATTATACAACCCTTACAACGTTAACCCTTACAACAGTCCTTGCAACACAAAAAACCTTTTAGTAACCTTTGGTATGGAAGCTCTTGCACGAAACACCTCGGAAGCCCATAAGCCCTCCTTGATTGAAATCCTTAGAAAGCCACTTTGGGAGGTTAGGAGGAAAGCTTGTCGTGGTTATCAGTACCTAGGTATCACTCATAATGTGATTGAATGCTGCCAATTGGGTTTAGGGTTGAGTGTAAGCCCTTGCCATACCTGAAGCTTTAGGGGTTTGGGTTGATGATGGTCATCGCGGCATAGTTCCTGTCAACCAGTCGCGGGCCGCTAGCACATCCTAGACATGGGGTTAGAGTGCATGGCGCAGGGATTGGGGTCCTTGGCGCTTCTGGCTCAGGGTGTGTGCGGCAGGGGCCTCTCAATGTAGTAATGTGTGTTGGTGACCCCCCACTATAAGTCTAGCACAGCATAACCTGAGACCCGATTTCAGTTATGAACCCAGAGACCAAAGGTTCACGGTTTCGTGTGGTTTCCTACCAAAGCCCGCTGAACCCTAAACCACCGCTTTTGGATCTCTACTGGCCTCGGCTGTTCTGGAACTTTCCGTCGGCGCGGCTGGTTCAAGCTTACGGGAGGGTCGAAGGCTTCTTAGACAACAGCCTACAATCCTTATGGTTCCTATTTTTATAACTAGAGTATAACATACCCCCAAGCCCTATTCTACTTGTTACGTGTTGCGGTGAAGTCCTGAAAATGTGAATGTGCGGCTAGACGGTTGGCAATCAGCTTTGTGCCCTGTGACTTTAGTCTTGCACAGCTCCGTCTGTCCATGTCGTTGAAGCGTAAGAGCCTTCGGAGCCCTGGTTAAAACACACACTTGGTTTTATCAATTATGGAACTTACTCAGAATTCGCGGGACGAGAGACCCTAGTAAGAGATGATAAACAGATACCCCTAAAGCCCCAAACCCTAAAACATGACCTCTAAACCCTGAGCAGCGGCTCTGCAACTCGGACCGCCTGAGGGTTCAGGTGGAGAGTTCCGTCAAATGGAGGCCGAGGAATCTCCACCGCAGCCTCTGCGCCTGGACCTCATTCGGGCGGAGTTCCGGCAGATCTGCTCGATTGTTTCTGGGCCGCACTTAAAAGTTCCATCCGCCATTTGATAGACTGTTTCGGCTGTTGGTTTCCCAAAGCCCGAACCAGAAACTTAAAGAATCTAGGACTATTCCAATGTGTAGGATATGGGACAAAAATGTTTGTCACCTTTCAACCCTGAAGCCCCAAACCTTGAACCCCTCAACCCCGAAACCGAACCCTAAACCTTCATATCAGTCCTTGTATGACCGCGTAGAGTCACCCCTATCGCAAGCCTTACATCAGCCTACCTGGGCATCAAAATAGTCCAAAAGCCTTAGATACTATGGTCTTTGGGCCCGAAAGCCTTCGTAGAGCCCTAGGGCTATAAAAACCGAACCCCAGGATCTGGTGGGCCAGACCTTCACGGCGCGACTGTACTTTGAATTCCTCCTGGGCGATGCAGCCCTGGATGCAGAGCTCTTGAAGGCGGGGGCCATAATCTATGCGGCCATTAAGGACCTTATGTACTTGCAATAAGGCTCCTTTACGGGACTCAAAAATAGCGGCTCTTAGCATTATGTAAACATCAAACCAACACTGCATAAACCAGTGTAATTTCATTGATCATGAGATTCTAAAAGATATTATAAGACCTGTTCGTCTATCAAAATTTATGCTCCTTACGAAGACCTCGGCACAAGGACATGGACGAGGAGAAGACGAGTTGGAAGCCCAAAGACGGTGGTGGTGCGCCGGCCAGGCGGGTCTCTGTGGGGGTTCCTTGTTCGGGATCCACAAGGCACTATAAGGGGTTTGGGGTTTAGAGTTTAGGGTCAAGGGAGTACAGTAGGAGCCTTCATAATTAGACTAGGGTTCCTTTATAAGGGTCCATAAGGGTTACTATGAGGGATCCATGAGGATCTTCTAATATAGGGGCCTCAATAACTCCTTATAATGAGGAACCTCCGAAATGGTATTGGTAACCATCTAGGCCCCTCAATAGAGCTGTACGTGAGGGCAAGGCTAGCACATTTGGGGTTTGGGGTCCAGGGTGTCTGCTTCCTGAACAGGGGATCCTTGGAAGAGTAGGATGAATTTCGGGGTTATGGGGCGCGCCTGGCAGGTTCTACACCCAGCACGTTTCGTGGATGAATGCCGCAGAACCCCCGGTTGTGCTGGTCAACAAGCTGGTGGGAGTTTCCGAAAATTTGAGACCCTAATACAGTACCCTAAGTAGTAGGATCCTTATTATAAGGACTTTAATATAGGGATATAGTACACTACATAGTAGGCTTCGATCCTTATTATAAGGACCCCAAAATAGGGCACCCATAAGATAGTACCCTAAATAGTAGGATTCGATACTTGTTATAAGGGCCCCTAATTTTTCGGAAACTCACAGGTCGAGGATGGAAAGGACCTGCGTTTTTCCATTGAGGTCCACGGCGTTTTCCTGCAAAGGTTCGAATGTGCCAAGTTTCCCTTCGACATCCAAGATTTATCTGTCAAGGTGGGGGTTTAGGGGTTTAGGGTTAAGGGCCCTTCGACATTCAAGATTTATTCGTCAACTAGGTTCCTGAGTAGTACCCTTATTCCCTTTTTGTAGTCCTAGGTTCCTTATAAAGTTACCCAATACCAAAAAGAGACGCCTTTTTATTCTTAGGTTACTGGGTATCCTAGTCAAGGTGGGGGGGTTCAGAAATGGGGGGCAAAGGCTTCATCTTCGGGTGCCCTGTTGAACGAAGCTAGCATCTGTCAAGGTGGAGTTCCAGCTCGCGAATCAGGGACGCTGGCCCGTGAATATCTCGGCAGAGAAAACTGACAACTGTGATGTCAACGATGCACATTTCATATGGGACAATGAGTACATGCTGGGCAAGATGGTCAGTATTGCTGTACGCGAGCGCCGCGTATTACCCACCAGGACCCGTGGAACACTTGCCCCGTTTGTTTTCAGCCACAGTAACACAGCTCAGCAGTCCTCGTCAGATGAGTTGCCCATGCAACCCTGTAAGATTCCGTCCTAAAACTCTCCGGTTTCTAGCTTGCAGTATACTTTGGTGTGTTTTAAGGAGTTACATTGAGAAGTACACCTCGAGGACCTACCAGCATGTGCAATTTTCCTGCTTTGTCCAGCGGAAGCCCTTCTTTTACCTTGTGAACGTCTCCCTGCCCAACATGCTCTTTGCCTTGATGGCGGGCGTACAGTTCTTCGTGAGCTTGGACAAGGTGCGGGTTGAGTGTTCAGGGTTTGGGTGTTGAAGTTTGTGGTATAGTCTTTCGAGATCATGACCAAGGTTCAGACGCTGCAGGTCTCGAGCGGCGTTTTTGCAAGGATTTTCTGTTGTTGGCTCGCGTCCCAGTGTTCTGTCTGTAACCGATTCCAAGGTTCCTCAATATACTTACCATACCGCGAAACCCCATTGTGTTCCATGGTTTGGGGCTCTCTCGCTTGGTCAACATTTCATCGTGCTGGTGTTGCATGGTCTTTGGGGGGGGGTTGTTTGCGGCGGAAGCCTTAAGAGTCCTGATGTGTCCGGCGAGTATTGAAGTGTCTCGGTCTGTTCTTGCCGGAACATTTTATTAGCAACTTGGACGATCTTGTCGCCGAATGTGCCTCGCAGTTGACTGTCAGACTTTGCTACCCAACAGAAACATGTGGGACGAACGCATATCTGGCATGTCTGGTGTTCTTCGCATTGATCAGATTCTGTGACCCTGCTCCGTTCCAATTCTACAGTGTGAGAACCGACGCCAAGTCCCTTTATCCTCGCCCCCCTCCCCGGAACAAAATCGCAAAGCCGGGCTGATGATGAAGACCATTTGATGGCTACCTTGTGCTGAGGGCAGAGAGGGAAGCGGGATGATGTGTCAGGTAGCCGAGCGTGCGGGAATTTCCTTGACCTTGCTACTGGTTTGCGCCTCCTACTACCAGTTCTCCGCATCACTCAGGACACTCGGAGCTTTAAGGTTGTGGCGCACTGCGCTAGAATCAGGGTTTTGGGAATGAGGTTCTAGGATTATTGACTGCAACTTGAAGCCATAGTCTCGAAAGCGTAAGCCGCACAATGGGAGAGACATTAATGCCTCCACCATGCTCTGCCTTGTTTACTAAGGCTTTACTGTTCCGATGCCAGAGTTACCGGGATCTAGTTGTTCTGTTCTTTCGGGTTGTTTTTGTTCAGGGTTGTGGCTTGCCGGTTCAGGATTTTGAAGCTTTTGCACAGCACCGTTCTCCTTGATTTAACGCGGTGCCCTAGTAGTTATGTTGACATTGGAGTGTTTTTCTCCATCAGGCCTCGCATTGGGTATTTCACCATCTTGGACGAGCATTCCCTGTGCTGCATCTGGCTGGTCATTGTCATGGTCTTCTGGGTAGGCATCATTACCAGTGTAAGAAACAACCCTGAGACCGTGGAACTTGTCGCTGCATGCTGCTTCTGTGGAATCTGGTTCCTCATGCACTGCTTCTTTTTGGTGCGATTCTGGACGGCCTGGCGGCTAGCTAAAGCATTCCTGGCCCAGCCCTTAAAGGAAGACGACAGGCAGGCCAAAGCCATTCTGTGCAAGCAAAGCACCACATCAGCGTTGCTGGGTCTTCATTATCTGAGAGGTTTATGATTTTTTACCGCATCCTAGATCCGAAAACTTAATCCTGCAGATAGAACCCTTTAATCTTTGAACCTCTCCTTGGAAAACACCGGTTCCTCATACTTGTGGATTCTATTGAGGGCGATTGCTCAATTCTGCATCTCAAGCACATTTGTGTGTATATGTGTGTTGATTGAGAGGGCTTACTTGTTCGGCGGACTGCAAGGCCACTCCTTCAACCGCTAGACTCTAGCCAACAGGACTCAGGGAAGCTTGACTCAGCTACTTCACCGTTAAGTATTCGTTGCCGGTGGTTGTGTTGCTTGCGCTTGTGCTTCGGATGTGTGGCTTGTCGTTCAGGTAGCTTCGGGGCTTAACAGGTATTGTAGTACGATATTAACTGTATACTCTTCGTATATCGTGTGTCTATCACTCGTATGCTGTTGGTATATATACAGTAACATAGGGGCCTCAACAATTACCAATACTATTTCTTGGGGGTTCTTTATTGCAATTATACTATAATATACCCCCCAAACCCCATTCTGATTATTAAGGTCCCTATACTATAGTAACTTATAGTACTCCACCCTTATAGAACTCTTTAAGGATCCCGTTAAAGGGAACCCTACTCTAATTATTAAGGCCCCTTTTTGTAGCACAGCAAGACGGCGATCGGAGGTTCTATCCCGAGGCCTCTCGGGCCAGCCGGTCCCTCACGCGCGTGGTGAAGGTCGCGCCGACACCGAAGCCGAAGCCGCGCATGGCATTCTCAAGATCGAAGTCATTTACTTGAGCATCACTGGGTGCTTTTTGGTGGCTGAGTTCCCGTTGAACTGATGTTTTGGTCCGGAACACCTGAACGGGGACAGTCTAAACTTTAAACTATGTACAATAATCGCTTCTCTTTTCTTTTCCCGACCACAGCCGATGTCCTTTGAGGACTTCGCTTGTGGTTCGGCGGGTGAAGCCTTGATCAAGTGCTTTTGCTTGGCGAGGGGGATTGTCAATGATCTGGTGTCTTCCGGAGCAACGGAAATGATGTTTCTGAGGTTTGGACACCCAAATCCTAGACTCTAGACCCTAAACCCGTTATTGTGACGGAGCCCAAAAAAGGAGCCCCCCCCTCCCCCTTCCCTGAAAAAATCGTTAGTGTGCAAGGGCCCAGTATTGACATCGCCTCCATGTGCTTCGCTTGTCCCGCCGGCTAACGTTCGGTTCGAGATCCTCCGCATGGAGGTCTTCGCCTGAGTTCCATCCATGGAGCCGGAGGATCCAAGTGGCAGGGCTTAGGATATTAGTAGCTTGGTGGCAGCTGTAGGGTAGTATTTCGGGGAGTCTTGGGTAGTAGTTCGTCTAGTAGGATCGTAGTAACTGGAGGTCAGTTTACGGAGTATCCAGATAGTAACAGGTAGCAATCGCAGGATAGTAGTTTGGGAAGTACATGATACTTAGCTTCTAGGGCCCTTGAGGGGGGCAGTTTTGGCTTACTCAGTGGCCCGGATCTGGACCCCAATGTTTGTGACGTCCTTCACCGCAGATCCCAGCATGGGGGCCTCAATGCTTGGCTCCTGCTCAGTATAGTGAAAGTATAGTATAGTTCCAAGAACCCCATTCTAGTCATGAAATACTTCCTGGACCTTTTTCGCTTGGGTTTGTATAGAGCACACAAGCACCAGAGGCATCAACCCCAAGAAAGCGGGTTCTGCAGCTCATTACTTAACCCTCAAAAAAGGTCTGAGCCCAAACCTTCAACCCGAAACCCTAACCTCGAACCTCGAAACCCTACAACCCAAAACCCACCCGCCACACGAAAAGCTGGATCCTTCGGCCGTTCATGCGACGACCGACGTGGCCGAACCTTCGTATCGGACCTCTGTCGTGCGTCCTGCAGTTTCTCAACCCCACAGCTTTTTCGCCGGGGTGCCAAGGTCTAGAACTAGGAAGGAGAGGAGAGAACCATCATCTCTAGGTTTGAGAATTAAACGTAGGATTCGCTCCTTGGTCCAATCAGTTGTCTGCTGACGCGTGCAAGACCACATAGATTTTCGAAGCAGCACCCTGTGAAGAGTTCCAAAAGATGCGGAGAGTTTCTGCCTGCCCTGAATCTTACAACCCAGAGTCTTGAGCCCCTAAACCCCAATCGCCCTAACGACTCTAAACCCGCAAGTGAGCATTGAGCACCGAGCCCTAAACTCCCCTACTTAAAGGTTCATGGGACTTAGCAACTAGGGTTATAATTAGGGTCATTATACTTATGACTACTAAAAAACCCCAATGAAGGTATTTATAATCTTACTAAGTCCCATGATCCTCCAAGTAGGCCCTAAACCGTAACAAGGCGTTCCGAAGCCCAAAGCACTCTACTCCTACTTCATACACGGCATGTAATCAGCTTTTCGCCGCTTAGGCTGACTCCTTACGTAATTACGTACGGGGACTTTGCAAATGCACCTGATCTCCGAGGAAGAGGCTTTCGTATGCTTGAGAATGGGTTTCCTGCTTTTGAGGGCTTGCGGAGTTGCGTTTTTCGGCAGGAGCTTTGCTGTAGGGGCCTTAACACCTGGAAAAAGGATTTTGGTGGATATTATATACTACAAGTAGCTTGTAACAAGGAACTGCACAATAGTATTGGTCATTATTAAGGCCCCTAGATTATTCACTCTGTAGGATCGGCTCCCGCTTAGACCTGAGCCACTGAAAAAAGAGGGTAACAACCTGTGGCACCCGACAAAAAGCCTGCATGGTAAGTTCTCTAGATATGGGTCCCTTTTCGGGTCCCCGAAATAGTATGGCACCCCTACAAAACGACCCTAAACGGACCCTAATTTAGACAACTACCCCTATGTTGCAGCTTCTTTGCTGTTTGATTGAGTTCCATATCTATCTTTCTTCCAGCTTCCAGCCGAAAGAAGGCTTCTATCGCAGGGAAAGCGCAGAGGTGTAGGGTCTTTGTTTACACAATGGTTAATCATGGTGAAATTCAAAGGGTAGCTGCAAGGACCCCGAACGTCGAACTCGACTCCCCCTCCCTGGCGACAATAGGGGGTTTCCGAATATCGGGGACCCTAATATAGTACCCTAAGCAGTAGGATCCTTATTACAAGGACCCCTAAATAAGGTACCCCTTCTTTTCGGAAACTCCCAATAGCATTATGAAAGATCTTCTGCATCACCAAGCCCGGCTAGTGCGTCTCCGCATCCTCCCAGGGTAAGCTCCGGCTGGAGTTGCGCAAAAATGTTAACCCGAGAGCTGATCCCAGGTATAGGCATTATAGTAGAAGCCAGAAAGTTGGAACCTAATTGTCCTCATACCCTTAAGGTAAAGTAGAAGGGATCCTAGCACTAATCCTCCTAAAGCCATGTTCCAAGTTTATGGCTTCTACTATATGGTTTAGGGTTTTGGGTTCAGGGCTTAGGGTTTGGGGTTTGGGTTCAAGCTAGGTTTAGGATTTGGGGTTCAGGGTATTCGTGTGTAGGACTGTGAAGCCTTTTGCCAGGATAGAAAAGAAGTTGGATGCTCTTTGTGCAGAAGGCCACTCGTCTGCAGGGCTGCGGGGGTCCGCCGCCTCAAGTAAATAGCCACGAGACGGGGTGCAAGTGCCGTATATCCTTAAACTACCAAACCCTACTTTTTTGGCGGTCCTTATTGTAAACCCTACTATGGAATTTATAGGGACCCTGCAAAAAAGTAGGTTTTGGTAGGGGTAGTCATCATAAACTGACCAAAACACCAGCTGTCGGACCAGAGCCCTCGTCCTATCTATATGTGTATATATATATATATATATGTAGAGCTTAAGATTAGACAATATCGAAGTTTGAGTAATTAGTGTTAATATCCTGTTGTAGTCCCAACACAATATCCTGTGGGATGCTCCAAAACCTTAGGCCAAAGATTAAGGCCCGTAAACAGTAAGCCACTGCAATTTCCGTCAACAATCCGTTACAGAACCCTTCGGGTGAGGCGTGAAGGAAGCCCAATTAGATAAGTGGGAGTATAGGAACCTGTTTAAGAATCCTTGGGTCTTTGTTTGGGTTCTTGTTATGCATTCTAATACTTTGGGGTCACAGCCCTAAACCCTAAGCCGTACAGGGCCAGGGTTTCTTAACCAGGTTCCTACATGAAAGCGTCTGGAGTATCGAAGGCTCGGAGGAGGGCCAAACAGAACCTTCTCTTCCCTTTGCGAGTTTTGGGGTTTGAGGGCATATACGGTTCATATGGGTGGTTGTCAATATCATGGTCCCTATTTGGATCTTTAATCTAGTACGGCACCTAACATTTCGGGTACCCAAAAGGGACCATAATTTTGACAACCACCCATATGGCTAAAGAAGTTTACAGGGCGTTTACGGTTCAGCATTTATAGGCTTTAGGGAAGAAGGGGCCATCTCTTCTTGAGGCTGTATGTGCGTGTACATAAAGTGTCAATATGTATACACACGTACACATGTATGTATAGTGTAGCTTGTGTAGCTTTGTATCAGAATTAGCATGCCGGAACTCCGCGACTCGGATGGCATCTTCAGAAGCCTCCGTATGTGTGCTGTTAGTAGCAGCAACCCCGGCATTGCCTCTTCGCTAGTGAACCTTGACCCCATGATGGGGGCCCTGCAATGCCAAGGCCGCTGGCGTGCCTAACTACCCTTACACCTAATTCCTGAGCCTCCTCTCTGCCCCGCACCCCGGAAGCATCATCACTGCACACCCTGAGTCCAGCTGGCACTGAACAGCACTAACGCCGGGCCGAAACCTTCCGTGGACTGATCTCTGAATTGACCCGGGGATAGTCCGTGAATGGATCACTCCGACGAAATCCTCAGCAGTTAAAGGGCTCGTAAGGCAGTGCTTTCCAGGGCTTGCCATCGAATTGCAACGTCGAGCACCACCATGACATGTGTGGCTGAGGGACAGTAGAAAACAGCTGGCACTTCAATATTTACAGTAGAAGCCAGCAAGTTACAACATCAATATCACGATGCCCTCATGGGGGAACCCAGCTCTGATCATCCTAAATTGCTGTTTCAACCTTTCTAGAAACTTCCGAGGCACAGCGCGAAGTTCAAGCAAAGACGCGAACGGCGCAAAGGCGGGTTGATTTGCGTTCGCTGGCACGTACGGGCATTCGCTTTGAGCTTCGGGCTCCTTGTCGGAATGAGGTCCCCTCTGCACGGTATCGTGTGGTGGTCTTGGTATAAATCCACCTCTACAGTCATTCGATGTCTGTACTTTTCCTGTCAAAGCGGAGGGTCTTGATCAGAATTTCAGTTCTTTCAGGCGGATGCCTATAAGTCATCCTACACCCCAAATCCCAGCCTCCGGCTTCGTTACACTCTGCAAAAGTGGGCGCAACAAACAGAAGCACATGTTGAAGAAAAGCCCAACACAAGCTGGAGGCTTGTCCTTAAGCAGAGATCCCAAACATGAGACCCTAGTGCAGAAACAACCTCAAGGTGAGGACTCGTCGCAAGCCTTTTTTCAATCCTGGTAATACTTTGTTTACACCATAGCTACAGTGTGGGTTTGCCGGGTGTTGGCTCTCCTTTTGCTTTCGCCTCGGCCTGAATCGTTGTCTGAGGGCTGAATCATGCGTTTATGTTTCGGGGTTGGCGGTTTAGGGCTCAGCGTTGGGAGGTTTGGGGTTTGTGAGCTAGGTGTATAATATATAGAGATAGATCGATCATCACATGATGTGATCCCTAAAAGTCAGTATGTGCCGTGAGTCCCATGTTTGTAACGTGAGACTGTTCTTTCGCTGCAACCGGGCTTTTGCTGGCAAGAGCCGAGATCCCTAG